ATGGGATTGAAGAATTCAAACAATGATGAGTATTTGATTCGATGGGATTGAAGACATCTAGTTTTTATAAAGGTAAAAAAGCAACAAGCTATTTAGGAAAGGTTGGATAAATTTAACGGTAGAGCCTCTCTCTGATGAAGCTATTGCCTCTCTATTCGGCATTATATCTTGACACTAGGAACCTACTCCTGTCATTATTTTCTGAAAATAATCCTCGTCTAATTTTAGACTGTGTCCAAATTAGTCACTCTGGCTATGGCTTATCATTTTGTGCTTACTGACAAACTGCTACAGCTATCCATAGCCAAAACCAAAGCATCTTGGTCAGTAACAATGACCCTGTAGGGTATTTGGGCTAGAAAGCCTGCCAGATGCATCAGTCTGCATCGTTTTTTTTTTCAAAGTGGTTTGCTTGCCTAGTTCAACAAGATCCAGCAGGTCAACTATCCCCAAGGTCTACCAGTCTGTTTTTTTAAAGCCAGCCACCACAGGATCTGACAATGGCATCGTTCAAAGGGACCAGCTCCCACTGTCTCAGCCATGGGAGTTGATCACAAAGTCAGCCAAGTGCAACGGCCTTGTACACCTGCTACACTTTGCTGGATCTGGCAGGGGTCAGGGCTCAAGTGTCCAGGCCTTACATCTTTCCCTCGGTGGCCATGATGTTCTGCCTTATCTCTTCTAGTGTCTCCTCCGTCTCCTGGCTGTTCTGGATCAGTGAGAGGTTCTGCTCCTCCAGCTCGGCAAAGATATCCAGGAGCTGCTGGGGGTCAGTGAAGAACAACTCCGGCTCCTGCACGGAAAGACGGTGAGAAAAAGTGACATACAGAACAACACAGCTTCAAAACTATTTTAAAAACTGACATTTCAACCACAAGGCCGGTCACAGGTAACAGGGTGAATGATGACAAAAGAGTTTTTTTCTTGCAAGTGCATTTGAAAAGTTTGTGACTTAAATTCAGTCTGTAGGTCTTGTGTTGGTCTTGTGATGGTCTTGTGATGGTCTTGTGAGTTCTTGTGATTGTCTTATGAGGTCAAGCCACAACACTGAGTCTGACAAGCAATGGTACACTAAATTTAACATGGTGCTGTAGAAATTAACCTTCAGAAAGTTTGGCCTGAGTACTTCAGGTTCTGAGCACAGGTGGAAAGAGGAGTATTCAAACCAAAAGGGTTTTGTTGCAAATGACCAAGTAGCTGCGAAAGCACTCAGAAAAGGTACAGCTACAATACCAACCATAGGTACACGGGGGAATTACAAGAAACAAAGGCCCAACGGGGGGGGGGGAATCAAAGCCAAAGTTGTTTCTAACTTTGAATGAACGCGAAATTATTCTCACCTCGTCGCTCTCATAGTCAGAATCCCCATCTCCCGATTTCAAACTGTCAGTGTCTTGCTTGGTGGGAGTCTGGGCCAACGACCTAAAACAAAAAAGGGAATGATTTTCAGCCCCTGTGATTGATTAAACAGCTTTGATGGATCCAAGCATCCAACCCAACTAAAATCTCCCCTAAATCTTTTCAAAATTAACGTGAAAATTTCTTAATTATCTGATACCTAATATTAAAAAAAATTACATCTTTGAAAGTTTTAAGTACTTCAATACTTCCCCTTCCATTGCACCCCTCAAAATGAAAATTAAACTCTACTCAAAATTTGATCTGAAAATCGCAAATCTGTCCCACAAACACCAACATCCTGTACCCATCCAATTCCCAAATTCCCCCATGGATTTACCTCTTAGTCGCTGACCCCGATTTGCTAGGGGCTTGCTTGGCAGAAGCCCTGGAGGTACTGCCACGGGAACCTGATCTGGCTTCAGTGCTTGGTGTCCCAGCTACGGCATGAGGGGAAAAACAACAGTCTATGCTTAGGCTCACAGGAATATTTTCCTACGTTCTAGTTCATCCTTTTAGTTGAAACCATGAAAGGTTACTTCAGATGTTTTTTTTCCTATGAAAATTTATTTCCAAACAAAACACACAGGGAAACTGACATAGAGAGCTTACAAATGATTACAAAGATGAACAAAGAGATTAACTGCAGCGGGATTTGAACCTGCGACCTCCAGAACACCGTACCGCTGCTCTAGTTATCTACCGGTGCTCTACTGAGCTATCCATCCCTATGTTAGTGGCTCTTCCCATTTGTCAATATCTTTGTTCGAGGGGCACTTGCCAGAAGCCATGTAACCTGAAACACCATGTAGCCAGGGATCATGCCCCAGTGAAATTTTTTTCAATAATGCATTCAGAACATGGAAAGAAAACTGTACACAATGAGACAGCGCGACAGCCAGAAGCAGGTGTTACAAACACACGCGCAGACAAAAATTGGAAAGCTGGATCAGTTGACCACATACAAATCTTTCCAATGGAATACAAGGGGGAGGGTACAACACACTAGTGAAGTCAGAAATATGAGAGTCAGTGCGAGGATTCCAGCATGGTTCAGATGCTTTCATGCCAAAGAGTGTGGAATGTCACAATGCCTGGTAATCTGTGACCTGTCACGACAAAATGAGAGTAAAGTCACATCCCACTTTTTCCTGTTTTGAGGGTTAAAAGTCATATAGAAGTAGAGGTCAATTTGGGGGTTTTGTAATATTTGGAAAGAGTAACCCGCCTCCTATTAAATTCCAAATATTTTGCAGAATCACATATTTTAAAATGTCATTTTCTTAGCAATGTTTACGATAGCATTATTTGTGGCTGGTCTGAAATGTTGAAACAATGTCGGACAGAAAGATGCAAAGCTGCCAGAATAATGTCACATTGTCACCTTATACTTCTACCCTAAGTGTTCCATGTGCATGCCATGGGAAAGCTCACTTTCTGCTGAATTAAAAAATACCAATATCTCAGTTTTTGAAAATTCCAACTTTCAGCTCATTTTGTGGTGACCGGTCACATATATACATTTCGATGACAGTAGTGACCACGGTGACGAAGTAGTGCTGTGACAAACAGACACTGTATCCTGAGGTGGTCCACCGATAAAATTCCGTAGCCTCTAATACCACAAATTCTCTCACTGACCTTTCCGGCGGGTGGCTGACGTGATCTTGGCCAATGAGTCACCTCCCCGCTCCTTGTGTTTCTCCCGCCGCCGTTCTAGTCGCTGTGCACGGTGCTCCTCCCTCCACTCCGCAGGAGTCAGGGAGTCCAGGAACTTCTTGTACAGCTGGTACTCCTTCAGAAGGTCCTCATTCTTGGAGATCTCACTGAGGATGCAAGGGAAAGGCACTTTAGACTCAGGTAGTTACAATTTTTGCCTGAATGATGAAGCATTATCACTGATCTTTTCTAATGTGTATTTCTTTGCATCATCAAGGCTTCAATCATGAAAATCACATTATCCACATTGTCTCTTCCCGTCTAAATAAATGTGAGATTCAAATATATTCTATATATTTATTTTGTCAACTCCGCTCCTCATACATTTTGCAGTGTGATTGTAATAACACTGTTAAACTTTGCTTTACAATGGGCACCAGACGATTAATTGAAAGCGAGGCCTGCCTACGAGACAACCTGATACACTGTAGCCACTCCGGGTTGCCACATCAAGAATCAGACTGTTAAAAAAGGTAATAACAAGGACATATTTGGTCCACTTTTCTTACCTCCTTATGAGCATGATCTGAGCATTTATCTTCTTTATCTCGGCCACTTTCTCCAGTTTGGCTTTGGTCTCGGCTTCAGCGCTGGAAAGAGACCAGACAAAATACAAGAATGGGCAACGCAACTGAATATTCTCTAAAAAATCACCGTCAGAGTGTGAGAGGTCTGCTGGCGCTCTTCTGTTGGAAAGTGTTATATTCACAGGACATTTTATTGCTGAAACATTATAAAATGGTTTTCTGAAGGGCACATCAGGCTGGATTTCAAGGTAGACAAAGTTTATAGCCTGTGCTACAAGAGCTGCCAGGTTAAGGGCGTAATAGAAAGCAACTGCCAATGGAGATGGTGTCACATAAGGATTATTCAACAATATGACAAAATAATAAACAATGTGGCCATTTCAAGTTTCCTTCAGTGAGGCAGGCAAGAACAAGTTTTCACAACCTTGTTCTCAAAACTAGATACAAGGTGTGAATGCTATAACGTCACTACGTATGTGGCTTATGGTTTTCCTCTCTGTATTATCATAAACAAAATCTATGATTTATAACAAAAAACTCTTTTCTCTGTAGCGTTTTGTGTCTTGAATGTGCCTTGCACATGATTTTCTCGCCTTCTGATGTAACAAAATGAGAACAAAATAAAAAAAGGGACCCAATTTAAATCTGAACAGAAAAAGAGAAATGAAAGCACAACTGGACATACACTTTGATAGCCTCCACTGAGTTCTTGTCGTTCTCCTTGAGGAACTCGTCAAACATGGCTGCGTCCTCCTCCAGATACTGCTCGGCCAGCTCCAGCTTCCTCTCCTCGGCCTGAGCAATCTCCTCTAGCTTGCGCATCTCATCCCGCTTGACCCCCAGCGAGTACTGCACCAGGAACATCTCCCGCTTCTTGGCGATGTAGTCCGTCAGACTCTCCTTCTCAATGTGGCGGTCTGCAGGAGATTGGATGATTGCTTTGATTAATTTTTTCCTAAGTAGTTACAGCAAAGGGCCTTTGTTGCAGCTATAAGATGCCAAACTAACAGGCAATATTTTTGAAATTTGTTATCTATCAATAAAAGTTTTGGGTTTTTAAAGAACTTTTTATTATTGAGAAGTTGTACAGCAGTGTGAATAATATGGGGGGGTTGTATCTCACCCCTTGTGACAGCCAGGGTGAAGCTAGGGTCATCCTTGACGGCCAGTGCCTTATCGTCCACCTCCTCTGTCTTCTCCTCCTCTGCATCCAGGTCGGCCAGGGGCTTGCGCATAGATGACCTTAGGGCGTTGACGCGGGAGGTGTATGTTGTCTTCTCATGCACCTTGAGGCTACGCTGTTTGATCCGCTCCTGAAATTGGCAAGACTAAATCATCAGCGTGGAGCTACCCCTGAGCCCATCACAGAAAGTGTTGTTAATAATCGTGCATCAGATTTTGAGACTGAAAACTGTCTCAAATTAAGACTGACTTTAACACTATTTTGTTTTTGAAAACACAGTTAATTTTTACGACTATAATAATATTGTGTGAAAATTTTTTGCCTGCTCAAAGCGCTGTTCAGAAAAGTTTACAAAATTGCAAAATTAGCAAGTGCAGAAACTGTTTTCTTGACAAATGTCTTGAGTGGCTAGACTCACAGCTTTCTTTCGCTGCCTCTCTTTGTCCCGTAGCATGAAGATGTCGTTGTCAGGAGGCATGGTAAATGGATTGTGATCTGGTGGGAGTTCTCCATTTTCTGGTTGGGGGAAAGACAAACCAGTATTGCAAAGTTCACATAGTGTCCTCAAATAACGTAAAAACACTCTTTTTAGAACAAAAGAATGAGCCAGTTCGGTACTTCATAAAGCCACGGTCTTTCGGGAACAAAGCGCGTGAATCAGAGTATGGCTGTGCTGATAGGACAGACAGATCTCGCACGTGTAGCTGTTCCCAGACAGCCTTGTACTAGGCATGCACTGTTGGAATACCAAATGGCTCATTGATGGTGATCCAATTTGCCAAACCAATGCATAACAGTACAACAGTGTAAAGATTGGTTCACATCTAGTTCGAATACGAACATGAATTTGTGAAATCATTTCACATATTTTTGCTGTGAATTTACAAAGGTTGAACATATTATAGCTAGACAAATTCGCTTCGCCTTTGCTGGACTATGATTGAGCCCTGTATCTCATGCCACCTGTATCACGTTAACTTTTGAAAGGCAGCATAATTATTACATGCAACTTGGACTTTGACAAAAAAGATAAAATTCCTATCTTAACAAGACTCTGTAAAATATTTTAAATTTGGAATGACACGAGAGTGGAGTGAAAAATAAAGAAATCAGCTGATCTGAGGAAAAGTTGCATACCTGTATAAATCACATAATAACAGAGAATGAATTCACTGGCAATATGACTGTTTTAAATACCTAACTAGGAATACTCTATCCCATTACCTGAAATGGCGGATTGCTCCGAGGCAGACTTGATTGAATGAGGAAAGGTTACTCTGCCAGACTGGCGAGATGTGCTCTCTGTCCCTGAATGATAGAACATTAAGCCATCAGAGCAGGAGATCCCCTACTGAGTTTGAAACAACATTTTCCTGGCAGATAAAGCCAAGATTAATTAAAAAATTCCAAATGACAAAATTTGAAAGATAATTATGGGTCTAACAAGAAAAAAAGAAAACAGACTTGAACAAATTGATTTGTTAGCCTTCACAAAGGGCGAGCTGAATTAACATTGTTTGTAACAAAAACATTTCTAAGTGTTTACCATGGCTTTTTTGTTTTTATACCAAATGTAAGATGAAGAAATAAATGAATTAAAACAAAACAACTTTACTTGACTTCTTATCAGCTGAAGCTACAGACACTGCCGATGAGGCAGACTGGTCAGGGGTTGCGGCACCAGACATGGTGACTGACAGAACACTGAAAAGACAAAAACCATACAAAATATTCATTAATTTAAAAAATTGACTGAAAATACCCTCTTCCTCCCCAAAAGAGAAGAGAACAAAACATTCCAAAATGTTCTTTTAACTTCTAACGTTAGGCCTAGGCCTATAGTATAAGCTGGTGGTCAGGGTACAGGTAGCCCTAGGCCTAGGCATCCCCATTCTGCCAGTCACGTTCAACCATGTCAACACAACGTTGAAAAAGTTAAACTGCCAATGCCCCTTTCCTCGTCAAACTTTTTTTTTGGTAGGCCTAGTGGTATACACGAGTCTTGCCCCTCTGCCTTATTAAAAGCCGAAACGGGAAGGACTGTAGTGAGAATTAGGCCTACCCACTTTCCCTTTAAAAATTACTTCTGTCCGAAAACTGGACAGAGGTGGCTTTAGTTTCTTACTCGGGGACGGCCCACCCTTACTCACGGGCAGGTGAACAATATTGNATTTGTTTTCAGCAAAACCCCAATTTCTAACGACATAAAAAAAGTATAAACAAGATTTTATCCTTGCCTGGTTTTTAACATTACTTACGTGGATTTTATTCACAATTTTCACCGAAGTCTAAGGTTTTCTTCACGAAAGGTTTCCGATGACAACGTAAACATAGCAACTGTTGTTATTCGTTTGTTGATGCCAAGGCGTGCCGGACTTAACTCAAGTGATGTTAGACTGGCATAATGTCCTATTATTGATGATGTGCGCAACAAAGAGTCGGGGAACTCCCTTCTCGCAAAATGCCAAGTTGAAAGTTCTGGATACAATACGGAGTTAGTACACATAAGAATTAACAGTATCAACAACTCTACCTCCTCAATCCACCGTTCAAAAGGTTCAATCAAAGCAAATGCATTTTCAGTTCTATTTACTTGGGCCAGGTTTCATCATTCCAGGAAAGATACTTTGAACCAGTTGTGTACTCACTAAGAAAACTTCAGCCAATTTGTCATTCTTCTTTTCCAATTTTTTTCTTTCTTTTTTCCCCTTACCCATTAACTCTGTTTTTTATTATTATCAGACTCTGATTTTTTTCCAACCTACAGATTCGGCAGCACACAGTATCAAAAATTTGAGACACTTATTTCATAATCTTTCATGTTTTATTGTAATACAGTTGTAATGTTGAAAAAGTCAACCAACCGTTGTGAAGTTGAATTCCAAAATCGTTTAAAATCAGACCAAAACAAATCATTTTCTGCATTTGAGGTGAAGTTTTACATCATAACCCTAATGATGATGAACCCTATAATAAATCAAAAAATTGTAAAAACTAGATTACCCTGTCCTGGACTACATTTGTCAGAAATGCTTTCCATTTTAGAATGCTTCTTCTGTTGCTTTTTTATAAAAAAAAGTAATGCTAGAATTCAAATGTATGCAGAAAAGTAAAGCCAACAAAACAATGTAAAACAAAACCTATGAACCTCCCCCCCAAAAAATTACAACAAAACAAAAGAAATTATACAAACTCAAAAGTAAGAATAAGTTCTAATCATAGTAACGATTTTACATTTTGGATGAATAGCATACCCTGTTTTACATTTACAAAACACATGTACAAATTAATTCAGGCAGAATAACCCAGAATCCATAAAACTTAACGCAGTTCAAAAGATTTCTGCTATTCTGCTAGATACAATTCAATATCTACAAAAAAATTGAAGGAACTCTGTCCATTTCCAAATTATATGAAATTTTCATTACAATTTCAAATTGCATAAAATTGGACGGGATAAAACTGAAGCAAGTTCACAGCATTTGCCAATAAATATTACTGAATTCCTCTGTACATTGATAAACCTTAGCCTATATACATACAGCCTATAGCTGCTAAGGGAGTTTGCAATGATATAATACATGAACAATACAACCAAATCTACTCATATTTACCACTACATGGAACTCCACCACACACTACATACGAACAGATGGAATTGATCCTGAAGAGCCNGCGTTGGTTGGGAGTTTTCATTTTGTTGCTAGCAATGTGACCATAACACATGCATTTCATAGTCATTTGTGAATCAACAAAGTGCAGTTCAGTGCCAAAGAGGAAAATAATAACACCCTCTTAGGGAAAAGCTCCCTCTCTCGGTCCAGCTCAAGGCCCATAGAGTCGGGAAGGGACAGACACATGAAGGGGTCAAATACATGACTCCATCCTCCAAATGCAAAATAAATGTTACAGCTCTGATGAAGTGTGTCTTTTTCCTTTTCTACATTTTAGTTCAAACTTGGGTTAAAAAATAATGGAAAATCCTTTATGAAACCTTTCATGGTGGAGGCTAAATTTTTGGGCTTTTTGTAAGCTTTGGGAAGAAATGGAAATGAAATAATCCAAAAATCACTGGTTTCTAATTCTATTCATGAAATACAAAGATTTTTTTCCCTTTGGGGAGGGGGGCCATGGCCTCCCACTAATCCCCCCTTGGATCCCCCAATGTCCCTCTTTATTTTATAGATCCACTCTTGACCAATCATATTCATTCACTCAAATGGGATGACCAATGAGAATACAGTGCTTAAGCCAAATCAGTTTGCATCATCATCCTCCGATTGGTGACATCTCGTGGGCAGGGCGTGCTCCAAAACTGCTCCCTATCAGGGTAGTAGAACTCCGTACGTAGCGGCTTGGCCTTGATGCTTGGGGATGGCTGTCGGAAGCACTCGTTGCCGGGATGGAGCTTTTGGCCTGCAGCAGCCGTGGCTTCGTGGGCAGCATCTGCGGTGGTGGCTGCTGCCACGGTGTGGAACAGGTGGTTGTTTCTGTCCTCCTGGGTAAGTGGCTGGATGAAGCGTTTGTGGAGTCCCCCGCGATCCTTGTGATATAATCTGAAAAAATATGAAATGATGAAAAGAAATAAAACACACTACCTCTGTTACATGGTTTGAAGGCCTCTCTTATCAGTGTATTTAACGTTGAACATTTTTGTACTCTTCTCTCTGGGATCGGTGGGTGCCATTGTAATTGTTTCTGTATGATCTTGTCACAAGAGAAAAGGGAAAGCAAAAGTTGCCGTATGTGAGAAGACTGTGAGGCATGTGACCAATTTTCAACAGAATGTGCACAAACCTGTGGCATCCATTTAAATCAGAAAATGCTCAGGCACATTTGGAAAATAATATGAAACAAATGAAGGTTTGGGGTTTTTCAGTGTTTAATGCATGGTGAAATTCAATCCACCCATAATTTTAAGTAGCATGTTGCAGTGTCGTAGGCGAGACCACTTAAGACTATCACAAGACCAACACAAGACCTTCAATCTGAATTCAAGCCAAAAGCTATTCAAATGAACTGCAACAAAAGCATTCTTTCGTCATTGTTCAACCTGTTACTTGTGACTGGTCTTGTACATGGTCTCGTGATGGTCTCGACTACACCACTGGCACGTTGGCCTTGCATACTCACTTGAAGTCGTACTTCTTCAGTTCTGAAAATTTGGCATGCTCCATGTCTCGTATGGGAATCCTGTTGCTCTCCATGTGCCAGCCCTTTCCGTCCTGCGGCCCTGGCATGAACCCACAATGCCTCTCCACTTCCCGCGGGTCGACGGCTGGCACAATGGGTACGCCGGCCTCCCTGGCAGCCGTGTCCAGGCTGGGATCATTTACCACGGCCAGCGCTGGGATCTCACTGATCCCTGCCTGCCGGAGGGCCAGCTTCTTGGGTTCGTCCTTCAGGAGGCCCTTCAGTCTGGCCACCTGGTTGCTGGACCGGGGGCCCCTGTAGTAGAGCTCCGTGTCTGTGGCACAGCGGTGGAACTTCATGGTCGTATCCTCCACGGCGATTTTGGAACGCCAGTTGTCCTGGTCCCAGTCCCAAGCTGCCCTCTGCTCGGCATCCAGGGTGTCACCAGCAAGGTGGATTGTGATCGGGGGAACGGGTTGGAAGCTCTTCTGAGGACACTTCCAGAGGTCCATGTCCTTCTTGCGGTCAGACCAGGAGTATCCTTCCCGTTCATCGAGCGTCGGTTTCAGGATGTTTGCATGAAGGGTATTCTCCGTCCAAGGCTGTTGGGTAAAACAAAAAATCATCATTGACTGTTAATTTGATTCTAGTTTACAACTTCAGATGGGCTTTAACCTGAAACAAATACCCCAGCTTATTGCAATTTCTTACAGCAACATATTACTCTGTGACAGGGCCTCAAAGTGCTGCAAAAATGATGCTGCCATTAAAAATGTAGTATAAACCTTGCAGAAAATGATTTTTGAAAGTCTCCAGCCACAACTGATGTATCTGTAGCTGGTTCACTGTGAGATAACACGGTCTGATAGTTAACAGGTTAAATTGTTCCATCAGTTATGGCCCTGCATTGCGCAGTACCTGTGTGAGTTGGTCTCTTCTGGCCATGTCCGGTTGCTTTGGGTGAGCGTTGTCCTCCAGGGCGGCTTGCATCCCTGGATAGATGAAGCCATCCTTAGTCTGCCATGCATCCACCGAGTCCTGCTGCTCCTGTTTCTGGATAGCTTCTATGTTGACAGGTACCACAGTGGCTGAGTTATACTCGGGACAGTATGTGAAACGATGATTGGGCTCCTGGTGGGATATGAAAAGGTACCTGAAGTTATCAAGAGGAGTTTAGATTTCACAACAGGGCTTGCATGGCCAGTCTCACTTTAACAGCAGCTCAGCACTGAAATTTGCTAGGCACGGAAAGTATATGCTTAGTAAAGATGAGTTACCAGCCAAAGTTCTGTGCAAAGTATAATGACTGGTTCTCCGCTATGTGTCGCTTAGCACAGAATCTACTAAGCTAGCCTAATCTGCCTAGCTGGTCAACAAAATTGGGCCTGCCGCATGCACTCATAAATGTTGGACATTCATTGGCCTTGCTCAGCTACAACAATGCTTCCAGTACGCCAGGTTTTTTAAATCAAGCCCCTAGGACAAACACTTAACTGACCTTTGCCAGTTCCTGGCGGAGCAGCTCCTTGGCCTGTTCGGTGGAGTTGAGCGTCTGGGTGCTGTAGTTGTGGGCTACTCCGTTGACAGGCTCTGCCCGGATTGTAGCCGGCTTGGCCTTCTTGCTCTTGTTTCTCTCACTGACTTTCCGGACTGCATCCTTCCAAAACAAGTGTTCAAAACATTCAATTGCATCAGAATGAATTTCCATTTCTGACAATTTTCTTTTTAAAGAAAATAATAATTTATGTTCATATTTCCCACCATCCGACTCCTCAATTTTGATGAAAGGGGTGCTTCGTGTCCGAATGAATATCTACAATCATTCTCTTCCAGATTTTTAAGTCGGCACAAATTTTGTACATCTTAATATGGTCAAAGGGGAATCTCAAAAATGACATCTGTTCTTAACCTGTTACTTACAATATTGTTTTTGATGTGGTCACTGGGCTCTCTGTGCAGCTTTTTCTCCTCCAACAAGTCCAGGTACCTGTCATTGTACAGATCCAAGGGGGTCCACTCCCTGTGTCTGTGCTGGATGGGGGCTGTCTGAGCTCTCCATATGTCCACCTCTTTGTCCTGCCTTTGGGACTCTAACAATTCTTTGACAAAGAACAGGGGAATGGAATCAAAAATGGCACTGCTGCAGTCCGGTCCACCGCAAGCCCCTTCGTGAGTCTAGTCATGAGTCCAGTCACGATTCCTTTTGAAAGACCAGTCACTAATAACGGGCCGAGCAATGACTAACAAGGAATGCCTTTGTAGGAGCTCTTTTTGAAAAGCCTGTGGCTTGGCTTAAGACTGGATGTCTTGGGACGGACTTGCAGCGACCTGTGTTGGACTTGGAGTACAACGATGACGTAATGTTTACTTTTGTCCTCCTTGCCCATCATGCGTGTTAAGAAGTACAGTGGAGATGGGTCTAGGGGGTCCAAAGCAAACCAGTCACTGCACACACAAGTGAACTTCTGTGTTCTTGATAAAAACAAATTGTACACAAGGCATTTTTCTCATCGGGGAGGTAAAATGCTGTGTTCTCCTGAGGAAACATCCGTCATAGAACCAGATTTCAACATGATTCCAGGCATCCTGACGCAAAGGAGGTGACATGTGGAAAAAGACATTCAAAAAGGGAACCAACTTCTGAGAGTAATGGTGTCAAGGTGCTTTCCCTCCTGGAATCATTCAATCTGAAAAGCTACCTCCAACAAATAATTAATACCGGTTACCTTCAAAATCAACCGTAGTCAGTGGCACTCCAAACTCCTTGCTGAGCGAGACAATCATTTCGGCAGATGGGAAGAGGTCGTTACGTGCTGCATTTCTCAGAATGTCCTGTCGGACCAGCTAAAAGCCAATGACAGAGATATAACAAAACAGAATGGTACTATTCGATATGTCATAGTGAAACTGTTGCCTGCCGCGCCACCCACATCATTTGAATACATAATTATGTTCCAGATTCTGGAACAAGAACAAGAACAAGAACTTGAGTGGTTTCAAAAGTCTGAAGGAGTTCAAGTATATACATGTATAGGGTATCACAAAGTTACTTACACTCGTTTGCAAAAGTTTGAGACCACCTGAAATTGGACTGGTATTTCTGTCACTAGGCACTTACTTAACATGTTTTTACAGTGGTACATAACATCAGTGTGGTGCTATATGCCCATTTGAATGAGGGTTTTTGCAAAGGCAGGTCTTGTATGACATTTTATCTGTAAGGCAGCGTGGGTAAAAAAAGCCAGTCTAAGTAATCAGAAATAAAGGAGGGCATACTAAATTTTACACTGTTAAAAATTCAAATGTTGGAAATGTAGTCAAATAGCTGTTTAAACAAGATACTAAGGTTACACATAGAAAATAAACAAAAGTTGCCATGAATGATTGGTTTAAGTTGGTCTTTCTTCAGGTTAATGCATTTTGTATGGGGGGTCCTAAATTTTTGCAAATGACTATATTTCAACTGATTTTTGGATTTTTCATTATAATTGCCGATACTTTGACCCTTCAGGGGGTTCGCCTACTGACCATGTCTAGTTTGGTGATTGCATCCAGACATAGCCTGGGCACCATGTCCCTGACATACAGTAGTGGTTGCTGGACTATGGAGGACAGTGGCTCGTGCAGGCGAATGCGGCACAGGTCGACGTCCAGGCTAGCGTAGCGCCGCTCACTGAACATCATGTTGGAATTGTAGAGTGCTTGGAAGGTCACATTTTCTGCACAGAAAATTAAATCAATGGTTAAGATTTTTTAAAACAAGCGCAATTGGATGGAGGAGAATGCTGTGAGCAAGCATTATTGTCTAAAAAAAAAAGACAAGTCTTAAACTTTATGCATATTTACAGCAAAAGTCATTTTTATGCCAAAACTTTCAAGGAGCAACAGAAGGGAAGAACTCTGTTTGCCACGAGCATTTTTACTGCAAGCTGAAAAGATGTACATGTATAATCATAATTGTTTCAGGCCTATTCTCGGATGGTTTTTGCTGACTGTACGTAAGTTGTATGTACAGCAGACACTCCAGAGAATTAGGCCCTGGTGCCGAAATCTAGTGACATGTTGTACAGTGTTTATGCACTGAGGAATATGCTTTCAAACCAGTTTACAGCTTCTTCAATATCAACACTTCAGTGGAACTTTGGATCAAAGCTGAGTCTGTGCCTTAATTACTTTGAACACAGCCAGCCATAAGACAAGCATTAACAGGAAAACAGGTTTAGCCATCACTATGGAAGCTATAACACACTTGTATTATTGCCAACAGTGGCTTGGATGCAGTCTACTTGATTTCTTTTTACTTTTTACACCTGGGTGATCCATTCAGTAAGCCTGCTCACTGATCTTCCATGGATCCCAGCTTGCATAATTTAAGACATTAAAATACCAAAAAATACAAAACACAAGAATAAAAAAAGGATAAAAATAGCAAAAAAGATAAAAACTCATGTTACAAATATAATCAAACAAGTATAATCAAACCACAAAAGTTGCACACAGGTCCACAAAAATTCATAAATTACTACTCAATACAGTACACTACACTATGATTATACAATACAACTGACCCCAAAATCTACAATAAACTAACTAAACTAAAGTTGCCTTTGCTGTTGTACAAGACGAACGCTTGTTGGACGTGGAGATTTCAGCTGACCACATTTTAAAATGGTTTGTGCGAAAGGAGGTACTTAAGACACCCACCCTTGGCTTTAGGTCTGGGGAGGGTCTCCCAAATGAGATTGATGGCCTTCTCTCTCAGGCCTTCCAGGACAAAGATGTGCTTCTCTCCGTCCATCACCTGAAAGCCGGTCACGATGTCCAGCAGCCGACTCTCTTGCTGGGCTCTAGAAATCAGTAGTGCATAATATCTGGTTAGCAGAGGTAGGAAACTAGACCTAAAGCTTTCTGAAAAAGTTGCTGGTTTCATAAGTCTTACCTCAAAGTGGCATATGGATGGTTTAACAGACTTCTAAGTGATGAATCATGTACAGACTTTGTGTGGGAAATCAGTTTGTGGTGTGTAATTATGAAGGTTTGTGGTATGACCGATAATTTACAGACAATGTGACATAGCATCAGGGCTAGAAGACCGTAATCAACGAACCTGCTGACAACTTCTCCTGTACGCAGCAATGCCTAAAGCCAGTCCATTTTCAGAAGCAGTTATTTTTGTGTCAACTACAATTCACTTCAGCAATGCAACTGATGCAAGGATTCAAAAAAAGGTGATTATTGATGTTGGTGATGGCTTTACAGATACATACTCTGACAGTTTGTAGGTGGATAATGCTGCTTCAATGATGTGCTCCGGCATCTTGTCCAAGTTGAGTGCCGTGGCGTTGATTTTTGTGACAAGCTTCAACAGTCTGTGCAGAAACGCTGCGTCCTTGTACTCAAAGATGTAGACGATCCTCGCAAATGGACACTACACAAAAAAATGTTATAAGAGAAAAGAAAAGAGCGTCTGAATTGCAGGGAATGCTTAAAGATCTGTACATGAAAATGGATAATTTTTGCCTGGTACCCCAGGATATATTTTGTACACAGGTTAACAGGGAAATTGAACCAGGGGTCAACAAAGTAACATCACTTGTACTTGCTCCAATATGTCAGCACTCAATCTGTTGACAATCTGACATTTAAAATGCAGCATGCCTTCCAAAACGAACGTAAAACAAATGTGAGAGGCTAAGGAGGAAAAGCACACCAAAAAGTGTTACCTCAGGTGGCGTTTCAATCTCTGCCTTGAGCTTGACCTCCTGGGAGGTGGTCAGCGGGTAGGCCACCTCCACTCGGATCTTCAGCTGACTGTGATTCTCCAAGTAGTGACCCATCGGTAGAGGCTCATCCTCTGCCACAAACCAAACGCAATCAATGCATACATTTAAATAAGTCATACACTGTTGAATGAGAGGTTGGCGGGTTCAGGGTAAGTCGACAAAAAATTGTCCCTCATTTGCTCCATACGTAATGTCATGTTTTCTAAAATCTGAACAATCAACACAAATGCTTTTATGTATTCTGCATGTGGATGTCAATAAAAGTAGGATAAAAAAACCACTGGAGCCCACGAATGTCTTAGTGGGGAAAACTCTCTTTGCATATGGGGCACAGTGTGCACAAAATCGTGGGCTTGCTCCCCATGTTTTTCATGGTCATGTATAAAACCCTACCTCCTTACATCCTTCCCTAAAAGTTCTGAAATGATATGGCTATAGTGTTGGACTAGCCATTTGTGCCTGGAAAAGGCAGCCAACTTACGAAACCTACGGATTTCTCCACAACTTACTCGGCCCATCAGCTGAGCTGGAATAGCCAATCAGTCGGTTGTCCGCCTTGTTGCGGCCGATCACGTCTGGTATGGGGCAGCTGTGTATGGGGGCCGTCAGGTTCAACACGCGCTCCCCCAGCAGGAGGCTGGACAGGTCGAACTTGGCCAGGCCGTAGGGGTCCCAGGGTTTGAGGTGGTTCACGAAGGGGTTGTGCAGGGTGCGCTTGGCTGATGGCAGGAAAAACTCAGCAACATTACCTAAACTGGTTTAGGTTTCACATCAAGTCATTCCTATGTTTGCAGTGTTGTAGAACTATGCCAGTTTTATGATTTTGTTTTGAATAACTGTCTTTATGGTGCCAAATGCTCTCTTTAACCTATGTACTCCATTCAGAAAATACACAGAGCAGTAAAACAATAAAAAAACAGTTACTGAAGGCCATCATTTTTTTAAGGGCCATCATGTTTTTTTAAAATATTTTCATGAGTCTCTTTTCTGAACTCATCTCCTTCCAAGGGTGCAAAATTTAAAAAAAAGGAAAACAGTGATTTCTCTGGTAATTATTCATTACTTTTAATCATTTTGAAAGACATTCACAGCTCTTACCTGTTACCATACCAACATTGCTGATCTTGTCATCTTCGATATCCTCCCCGAAGAGTGTCGGTTTCTGTTTGATCTCCTCAGGTCGTCTGTCTCGGTCATGCACCTCTATCTCCAGGGGTGGTCCCTGTAGGTACTCCACCAATTCTCCTTTCGGAATCGTGCCTAAAAAATAGAGCAAACAATTACAGACAGAATATAGAACTCGGACTTTTATCAGTAACAGGATACAAATAAAAAAGTTGGAGTAATGGCACTTTTTTTCCTACATTTGTGATCCTGGTCCAAATCCCGCCCACATCGGTACTCAGACTGGGTCATCGAACCCCATCTACTTTTGCAATTTTGCCCACAGAATATCGTCTCTGGAACATCTTCCATCAAGAGCCTCCTCCAAGATTAAAAGTTTAAAATGCCAAGATTGTATGAGCTTTTGAGGAATGCTTTGTAATGATCAAAGTGAATTCAGCAAAGAATAGAAAGTAACTAATGGTGCAATTATTTTCTATTAGGCTTAGTATCAAAAGATCGCAAGGTCCGGCAGTCCATGTGCCAGAACTAACCCAGCAACTGCACGTTGATGTCCTCCCAATAGATGTTCTTGGCATGGGGCTTGCGACAGCTCTCGTAGGCCGGCTCCCGGAAGAGCTGGTAGGCACAGTAGACGGGCTGGCAGCGCCGGGCCAGCTCCCGGTAGGGCAGCGGGGAGGCGGGGAGGGAGGTGCCCGAGTTGACCTTGAGGATGAGCGGGTTAAGCTCCCGCCGCAGGCCTTCCGACATGAGTGGGCCGTCTAGGGACAGGGTGAGGAAGACGTCCTCCAGGCCGCGCACGGGCGTGGTCAGGCGATTTGTGACGGACCGCAATCCTGTGACATGACAGGAATGTATTGTTAATGTGACAATGATGTGCCATTTTAGTAATCCAACTGACTGTGCCCACAATAAAATTTGAGATTCTCTGTTGCGAATAAATGCAGAAGATAAATGTATACAAGTCTATGGGTAACGTTATGATTGAATCTGCATTTTGCCATTATGCATCCAATCACCATGATGGAAATTTTCATTCATAAAACAGTGGACTGCATATGAAATGTTCAAAACATGGTGTGATCTAAGTTTTTGAAATTCCCCAATTTACATCAGAACATGACCGATTTTCTCGGTACTTACTACAAATTCTTATGCTTATGTTGAAAATCACCACCTCTCGATGTGTACGTGGCTCACGTTAAAAAAGTAACCGCTCAGTTCATGCAGTAATCATTGCAGAAATGGGGTTGCACTCATCAGAATTCACAAGTGAAACTGCATCGCTACGGTCAAATCAAATTCTCATCACAAGTCAAAGGGGTTAAACAGTGACAAAGGTCACACTTCATCAAAACGGCTTGTGACTTTGATTCAAAACTTGATGACTTTTGATGGATGTATGAGAAACATGACTCCAGTGCTATGTCACAGCGGTCTTTACTATTGACAGTTTATAGGGGCCAGTGCCTACCTGCAAACAGAAGCTTCATGCGTATGGGGATGCAGGCGTTACCGTACTGCTTGATGTACATGGCCAGGGCAGCCGCGGCATGCTCTGCCTTGTGAGACTTCCGACGGGCTTCTCTCTGTTGTGGAGACTCCTTGAAACCCCTGCGTCCTGAAGCCAGAGATAACGAGAGAAATAGCTAGGACTCTATTGCAATGTAATCTGGGCCCTGTGTCAACATTTTGTCATCAAATACAGCCCCAAAATTGCTCCAACTGACAAAACGAGGTCACAAGTTGCCAGAACCACTTTGAGTTAAACCCTTTTATGAGAGAATCTAGTACTCTCAAAGGTGAAAGAAAGACAGACTGGTAAGATGTTTCCAACCAGGTTCTTGCACACGTTTGGCGTGCAGGCTAAGACCGTACATTCCAGCATAAATTTGTTGCGTGTACTAAGCATGCCCCCGTGCCAAATGCTCATAAAATTGCGCCCCTATGGGGCGAGTTCCTACAAAAGGACCGACAATTCCATTTAAGAACACATCCTCTTTTGTTCCTGCTTGGGGCAGATAGGAACCCTCAATATTTCTCAAAAACATCATCTCTCTCAAACGACATCACTACCCTACAGAGTGCCGTGTGGATCAGCAGTTTCGACTTCAAATAATTGTGACGTACCGCATTTCAAATATATCTGGATCAACGCACAGGTGTGAATGAGACATATTGGCACACTGTGCAAACGTGAACCTGGTAGCGCTGAATACCCAGTTGAGATTTTCCAACAAAGATCCAAACAAAGACCTCAGTTTTCTCTTTCTAACGCAAACAATTACTGAGAACTAAGACACTGAGAACAGGTAGTTTGAGGGACTGATAGTTTAATAGTGTCTATCAAGGTCAGCAATGAAATGCGTAACTATAAAGGTCTCTATGCTGATGGGATTAGCACAGAGTTAGCAATGACAGGTGTACAAAGTGCTGGTCAGGGACTAGGGTTGTACCACTAGGGTAGGCATTTTGAAATGACATTTGGAGGAGGATTGAGGACGATTAAAGTTTCAAAAAACGTTTCACAGTGTGATTGAGCCCAAACCTGGAGTTGGAGCTGAATTGGACCCTGTCCGGCTATCTCCTCCCCTGCCCTGGGAGGAATCCCTCCCCTTGCCTGCTGTGTCAGCCTGCCTCTTAGCCCCGTCGCTGTCCTTCTGCTGTGACAGGGCCACGATCTTCTCCTTCTTGAGCTTCTTCTTGATTTCCTTGAGCTCTTCCGGGGGAGGGAGGCCAGCCAGCTTGCCCAGGTGGGCGTAGGACCTGGACACAGGAGCCAGAACAAGGTGACAGACTGGTGAAGACTATTAGAAGGTGCATCAGTGTGACATGAAATGAATCAATCAATCAGGGATGTTAAAAGGCAGTGACACAACTGTGCCAAAGGGCCTAGTTCCAAGTGGTCAGTTGAATGGTCCAACTATGCAACATTAGGGTGATGTAACTACAGCCAATGCTCAAAACTGCTTGGCTCTGTCTAACTTTAAGGCACTCTCTAGCTCGTAGCTTAACGGCGAAGCCTCATACTGTTTTGCTAGTTTCTGATCGTCGTTGGCTACTCACTTCATCTCGTCCGACTGCACCTCTGCAGCAGGTGGCAAGGCCGAGTACATGTCAATTTTGGACTCTCTGACTTGCTCCTCTTCCTCTTCACTGTGTCTCTTCTCCACTTTGATGACTTCCGAGGGAGGGGATTGGCCAGGGGTCTTGGTGTTTTCTGGTGATGGGGGAACCGGTCTGCCCTTTGCATCTGTAGGTAAAGAAACAAAAGCCCGACCTAAGACCCAGAGGGAGGAAGGTTCCATAAAATTGCACAAAAGTCACAACTAGTAGTCAAGCCTTTGGTTATAAATAAATACTTTAAAAAAAACAGATGTTTCTTGGACAAAATTTTAATTGTGAGAGCATATTTCAGAATAAATGTTGATTTTTAAAGACTTCAGCTTCGTCCAATCCTGCCAATGAATCTATTTTTGCTTTTTATGCTGTGTAGAGAAATGTCAGCGAAAGCTGAGACTACAAGTTGCGACTGAGCTAAACAGTAAAAGATTTGACAATGGATGCAGGTGAACTTTGCTTTGCTGCTTACGAGGTGTCAAAGTTGATATATACTGTGACGCCTTGCTCTCACCTTTCTTTCCAAAATTTTTCATGCCCTTCAGCTCGGCCGGACCATGCTGGGGCACCGGCCGGTCGATGAATGACTTGCGGGGCTGCAGCGACATGTAACTCTCTGACTGCTTCATGACCAGCGACCGCACGCCTCCGACGTCTTCCACGTCCTCCCCCGGTTTGGCCTGGGGGAGACGGAAGGCCTTGGGCCGGTCGAAGCGCGCCCGGGAAGACACCTTGTCCTTGGAGTCCCAGATGCGGAGCTCCAGGGTGTGGTTGAAGAGCTTCAGGAGCAGCTCCTTGGTCACCTTCAGGGTGTGGCTAGGGTACAGGCGGATTTTGGATACAGTGTTAATAAACGAAATCAGAGACATCTTATGTGACAAGCTGGAATGGTTAGCAACTGATCAGGCAATATGCTACGAATCTTCCACCATGGTTGCATTCCATAGCATGAGTCGTATGCCCTCCTGGACCATGCACATTGTATGCTCTGGATAGACAATATGCAAAGCATACCAAGCACTCCTACTCAGAAGTGGCATGCATGGAAGGCACACCAATACGGCCTACAGCAGATAACTATCAAAATGAGTGCTTTTCTTACTCTGTTTGTAGTAGTAATCACCATCTTTGTCTACTGCTTCTTTAGATGTTTGGTACACCGTCGTTAAATAATCAGTATGGGACCAGCATTACCTCTGCTCCTCTATCATTATACCCACTCTTGCTTCGTTGGTCAGATTGCTCAAGTGAGGATAAACAAATAATCTTGCGTGGAAAGAACAATTTTACAATGTTACTATTACTGGTGCTGACAGCTTAGGTGGCGACTGCACTTTAGATCTCCCGTGGCCTTAGGCTGCGAAAGCAGGTGAAACGTATACAAATACCTGATACAGGTGTTTGTTTTCAGCTACATGTATCAGTCCATTTATTCTGAAGCCAAAACAGCAACGCCCACCTGTGTGACCAGGCAATCCACGTCTGGTTCTTCTCTTGCCAAGTCTTCAGCACCTTGGAGTCGTGCTCCGTGTAGATCTTGGCGGCCATGCCGAAGGTCACCACGTCCGTCTTGATGGGTTCGCTGTCGTCGGGCAGGAGGTAGTACTGGCAGTGGTAGTAGTTCTGGGCTTTGGGAGCCTCCACGATGCGCTTCTTCTTGCGCATGAGCTCGTCCAGTTTGGGGACATCCTCTTCAGCTGTGGAGTATACAAACATATGCCAGCCTGGGGTTTGGTCGGAGCATCTGTGCTTTCCTGGCCTTCCACCTCCGGTCCTCCAGACCTGGGTTTGAATCCCATCCTGGCCAACATGTGGATTCAGTCCCTGCCTCATTCCTTGGATTTCCCCAGCATATTTATTTAGGTTTTTCTACCATTTCTTCATTACCTTCTCCCCTAAGGGCCCTCACGGAGAATGGTTCTTTGGTAATCGATAGGGCTACTTGTTTAAGTAATTATTAAATAGAAACATATTTTCATATAAATCAAATTTAAATAAGCAAGAGAATGACTACAAAAGTGGTTCCATTTTGAGGCAGCTTTAGTTCAAGAGGCAAGAACTGTATTTTTTTGGAAGCACACAATATTTTCAGGTTTCATTATCGCAAGAAAAATTAGTCTGATTGAGTGCTACTGGCAGCATTCTGAGGGAAACTCTCGAAAGTAAGAACGTTACCGTTTTCAGGGGAAAGCTCATTATGGAAACAATGTGAATGATTTATAGTGCCCTGACTTCTGAGACGCTCCCTAAATGCTATGGGCATTACCATGGCAGTGGGATGATGACAAATGTGACTGTGTGTGATGATGTCATTGTACCTACCTGTAGGAATGGCCTTGGCAATAGTGACTGTCATTGTCACCTTGTGCACATCTTTGGCTTTCTTCTTCCGCGACCGCTTGGATTTTCCTGATCCCTTCCTCTCTGCATAATTTTCATCTTCCACAGTGACCGATGGCTCCACATTTTCACCATTCTCTTCATTAATCTACACAATGACATTTATTTAAAAAAACTAGCATTTGATTGATATTCCCCCAAATGGATGATTTTAAGAGATTTTTATGAACGCTACAGAAAATATACGACAAAGTGCAAGGTTTTTGCAATTCCCAGACCAACACACAAAAATATATGAATTCAACATCAGCCTCCGAGGACCGCTGATTTCATTGGAAATATGAAGACACAGTTTTGAAGCTGGTGTCAAGTCTCAAGATATTTAAGTTAGAGACAAAATGCTAACAAACATCATTCATGTAACTTCTGCCTTTTTGGTGCAATGAAATACAGAAAACCTAGCTCACTTGGTCATCCTCCAGATCAGCCTCCGCTGCCTTATTTTCGGAGGTCTTTGTCTCATCGTCCTGCAATTTCTCAATATTGCTTTCTTCATCTCCAAGACTTGGTGAGTTTTTGTCCCCGTTGTCTTGGCTCTCCTGACAGCCTTCCCGTTGGCCAGCTGCCCTGCTCCGCTGCTCTTGTGATTCAGCTGCCCTCTGTGACACGTTGGACTCGAGTGTGTCGCGCAAGGCCTCGTCTGTGGTCACACTGGTCATGGTGAATGCTAAACGTACAGGCCTAACAGCTTTTGCATATCAACCTTTCCATCTGAAAAAAATGGATTCACAACTGGGAAACTGACTTTCAGTTTGGAAAGGTGCATTGAGGAAGACATCTGGTTGTTGACACCTATTTTTCTTTGCAATTTAGGAGCAGCCAGAAATTTAAAGAAAAATAACAAATTCAAAGAGGACATTTTACTTTGACCAACCAAATGTTTGTCATTTTTTTCTTCTTGTTCTTGCTATTTTACATGTAACGGTTGCTGAGGTTCACCTGAGTGACAGAGATACACTTGGTGAATGGGCTGGTGACAACGGCAATCGGAGAGTTGACCTATAGTCATTAGTTAACCCTTAAGTAGGCCTATATCATTTGCTTCGTGAATGCTTGCTCCATTATAAACCCGACGAGTGTTAAATTAATATTTTGGCAGGAAAGGAACATTTATTCACTAAGGTCATGAGAATGAACATCCCAGATTTCTGTACCGACAAACAACTGTTTCCTGAGCAGCGTAATGTTCAGTGTACAGTTTGGATATGGTCACAGCCACCAAACTTTTCAACACTCAGGAAATAGTCGTCGACGCACGTATGCCAACACGGCATGCTTTCTGTGAATGGTCTGCAAGGCCGGCGAGCCATGACGATGTCAATAGGACATCAACATATGGTTCAAATCAATATTTGAGGAAAGATGGTGCCTTCGAGCTTGTCGACAAAAGGGTTTCTGATTTGAAGGGGAATTTCTCTCCTGCAGTGAACTTTCCACTAGTGAAAGCAACAAAACGTCTTAAAAAGTCACATGATTTTGCAGTGAAAATATTGAGACATTCATGATTTAGTAGGCCTGGCCTATTTAGTTCAGTAGAAAACACAGTCAGTACAATAGGTTTGTGCACAGGCAGACAGGGTATCAAGCGGCATCCGTATGTGGAATTCTTTCATTATAAGCCTACTGTGTTGGATATTTCAAGCTCAGCCTACCATATGATATGCCTAACGTTATGCAGGCCAGACACACAAAGTGTGTTCGGGTTTGTCAACAACGATCGACGCGGACCGACATTATCCTGATGACCGACAACAACCAACGGACCGTGACCAGTGACCACAACAGCTGAAATTTGTCTTACTGAAAGAGGAAATAAATTTGATGTCTCTGTCTAGATAAATCCAGGTACATGCAAAGGATGCGATTCTATGGATTTAAAACCTACCATGCAGGCTTACACTTCGATTTTACAGCAACCTTTCAGAAAGTTTCACTCCAGACCTATGCCATGGACCGAACACGACGGAGGCGGCCATGTTGTGTTGATACTAAAGGACCGATTTTCACATTCAAAGTTTAATGCATGCAATCGCCACTAGTAGAAATAGAGCCATCAATCATACTTTGCAAATGTCTGTCTGCTTTTTTCATTTCATTATGTTTTTATCATTATGTTTTGTTATGTCAAAACATAATGATTAAGTGGAATTGGCAAACAGTTTATGTATACATACAAGCAAATCTTGACTTAAGTAATACTTTCAACCCCTACGAAAAGCTAGTTCCGGCAATCGCAGTGAGTAATAATTTCAGGCTACTGTTTCAGTGAAGTGCCCTGTTGCCAAGTGCGGTCTGGTACCCAATATTTAACTATCGCGGCTAGCATCAGAACTTGCATGTACATGTATTTTTACCAGTCGATTACACGGAGAGCTTACGCGGCCGCGGAGAAGCCCGGCCAAATCTCGACCGTCACTGCGTCCTCCACCACCCCCGGCACGTCGGTTGGGAAACAAAGATTGTGCGGCGCTATCCTGCGCGCGGCGCTGTACAATCTTCGGTCTGCATTATACCGCTGAAGATATCGATCGGGGCATGGAGGGAAGACCTGAGATGCTTACTGGGGCGTGTACCCCATGCATTGATCTAATGACCCTATGCATGTAACGAAGAAAACCAATATCGGTGCCAGTTCCAGCTAGAGGTTTTCTTTGCACCTTCCACTTTTGTGGTTACACTCCAAAAAGAGGCAACATTCCTTTTTTTCATACGATTTTGTTTATCTGTTTATCTGTTTTATTTCAACGAAATATTTTTCCTTTACGTTAAGCCCCCCCCCCGGCCGCTTTAGCTAGTGCCATGGCTCCGCCAGTAACAAAATGTCTAGCAAAAATATCGCAGCAAGTTGTTTCGTAATTGAAAGTTGCATGAAGCTAATTTTACTTGGTTAATTTTCAACTCCTATTAAAAACATGAAACTACTTGACATCTCTTTTTGGTTTAATATTCTCCTTTTTAAAGGCGAATTTGTAAAAAACAAAATCATATCCCTATATTTTCCTTGACAAATGAGGGCGCTGTTTCCCTATAACAGCTCTGCTCTTGATTAGAAGACATTTTTTTTTTCGACTCCGTCTGAGGCTTCAACTGTTTTTTAAGTAGCTGACTTTGAAGCTGTAAGGGCGCTAATTAGTTTTATAGTGCCACAAAACATCAAATAAGATGCAAGAGAGCCAGAAATTACAGTAATCCAACGCTTCAGGCCCATTATCGGGAATTGGTTTTTGGAACGAAGCCTGAGATGGAGCCCAAGTCGAGTATTGGAAAAAGGCCCTGATATTCGTATTACCAGCGTATCCACTCCAAGTGGAATAAAAGAGGGTGTGTTTTTTGGTACTCGCCCATTGATCTCCATTATATGGAGATCAACGTACTCGCCTCAAAGGCGCGCGTTTATAGTGGCGCGTTTGACGTGGAGGACGTCGAGCATGCGTAACGAATTTATTCCTTAACATATGGTTTTTGCGTACAAGCAGAACGCGTGCGAGAACCCACTTGGAAAACTTTAATATACAACCATCTGTCTGTCTTTCTTTTGCCGATTGGGGTGCACTTTAACTCGGGTTATGTCTGTGGGTTGCCGCGGATTCCTATATATGGGTTTCCTGAACCACTGTACTAATATCTGGGTTGCCACGCGCCTTGAGTAAAGGCTAGTAGCATCATATCCGACTCGGAGGCCGGGGTTGTCCTTTTCACCATGAGCCAGTCGTTTACAACTTTTCGAATTCGTCAGTTGTTCTTCATACTGTAACCAAGTTGACCCAGTTTTAGTCACTAATGTGAACTACCGTGACCTTTTAATTAATTCCCGTCAATTTTTGACTCTTGACAGTGGGACGCGTACGGCGTGTCGCCAATGCTATTAGTCAGTAAAGAGCAATTGTTTTGAGTGTTTTGGTACTTCCCTTTGTGGATATAACTGTGTCTTAAGTATTTCACTACGTCACTGTTGTTTGTGATTGAAAGGAGCACATCTAGGTCACTCTGAATTGTTTCTGAGAGATCCAGTCATCACTGTAAGTGCTTCTCTGTTACATTTGGGACACATCACCCCATTAATGGGCACATTTTTTTGCATCTTAAAGCAGGAAGTTTTTTGTTTTGAAGCGTGAATTTTGGTTGATCTTATTGGTTGGTTTGGATGGATTGCAAAAGCAAGGTGTTATATGGATGCTTTCAGCGGCCATTTATTTACAACTTACAATTCTTTAGCAATTCTTTCCAAATTGCAATTAGGGAGAGCCAGGTTGGCGTATGGTTCTTTCCTCGCTTTCCATCTCTGTGGTCCGGGTGCAATTTCCGGCTCTGTCTGCGATCCAAGCTCGATCCCTGGCTCGGTCCACATGTGGATTGGGATTTCAGTTACTTTATATGGGTTTCTACCCAGAATATTTCTCTCACTGTAAACTGTCTCTATCTTCTATACAGGTTTCTTTCGGCGCTTTTGAGGAATCCTTGGTGTCATAACTAGAAGTACTTAATAATATTAAAAATAATAAATTTGCTTTTATAGAGCTAGCCAGGTGCTGTACTGTACTCACTCGCACAGGTTTCATTCATTTGTGCGTCGTGGTGGGCGTTACGCATGTGCGTGAACCTCTGACTACAGAGGACGTCCAAGACGTGTTAAGCTGAGGACAATTTTGTTTGCAGTGTAGGGCTTACAACTCAATGTCTTCAAATTTCCCAGGAGCAATCAAACTGTCTCTGAGTATTTGGGGCCTTCACAGTTCTCTTCTGTTGAAATTCACGAATAACTTCCATTTATCAGGAATAAAACAGCATCCTAAAGGGGAGAAAAAGGAATAAATTCCAAAAGTATACCTGCAGACTGCAGACAGGCTGGCCATATCAAGATTTGCTTACAGTCCGGTTCATACTTCACGTGAAAGGGAACACGAACCACGACTATGTGACGTCAGATCAAACATTCGCACCATGAATCGCAAAAGTTGAACACATTTTAATTCGAACGAAATTTTGCTGCGAATCTTTCGGACGTCAAATTCGCTTCTCTTTTGCATTCGCCTGAACTATGAACCGGCCTTTAACACTGAGTGATCGGAATAAAGTCCTGTTAATTATAGTCGCAGCAATCTCCCACTGACAGTATACGCAAGGTGTCAGGACCCAGACAGTCGAGGAAAAGAGACAGGGTGTGACGTCATTCGGTAAAAAACTAAAAAACAAAGTTCCATCCGAAACCTCAAAAATACCTTTTTAGAGGGTTTTTCGTTCCTTTAAGCTAAACTAGCGCTACTATTTTGCTGACAATTCGGGTTTCATTTCTTAGACTAAAGGAGAAAATGGGCCAAACAGCTGTACTCAGCGAGTGAGACATTGTGGTACCCCTGTCTTTCCAGCGTCCATGTAATAGGCCTACGCTGACAACTCGGTGTACAGTCAGAAAAGTTGACTCGTCTGTTGACTATTCCCAGTATATCGCGGCTGTGATAAGGCCTTTCCATATTCCGAGTCTAATCACATAAATGGGAACTGTTTTGCAATGCTGCCTGCATCTCTTTGAGTTGATTATGGAAAATAGGTCAACAAAGCTGACCACAAATAACTCCCAAAGTATGTTGGCTAATACATACAGATGAAGTTGCAGTTGTTACAATTCACAAATCACTCTCGTGGACGCCCCTTCCAGAAAAGTGACCGTTTCTTCAATGAAATGAACCCATTCACTTGTACTATTCATACATCTTTGACTTCACAGTTTGGTTTCTGTGATTCCATCAGTTACAGTGGCGACTTGTGGAATTTTCTTCCGTTTTGCAACGCTCACTGCAAGAAAAGAGGCATTTCGCTGCGTGGACCGACCCTTGCAAGGAAATATTTGTTTAAATACAACACAGTACATTCCACTCATGGCGCCATAGATCAATGGATTTATCATACCATTGATATACTGAGGAATACTGGATATCCATCTGCTATTCTTTCCTAATGCAGCTAACAGGGGATTTGGAATCTCAGCCAGTGAACAGATCCAATCAGCCATGCTGAAGATTCGATACGGAGTCTGGCATAGAAAAAACACCGCTCCATTCACGACCAGCATCCTAGCCACTTGGTTGCGGATTTGACTGGTGTTGTGTGCGTTGTTGACCGTACAGCCTTGACTGTTGCGCTGATTCAGTGTCTTCAAGATTTGCACATACATGTAAGTATTAGTAACCATGGCAATAAGCCAAGGGACATTAAGGAGAGGTTGAGTAATGTTCGTTAGCCAGGGAGCTACAGGACCACAGTATGCTCTGATTGATGGGTGTTTGCTGTATTCATCGCTGTTGGGCCAGTTCAGACATTGCACTTTTAAATCCGTTACCCGGAGTGATGTCGAAGCAGAAAACAGCAAACCCAGCAGCCAGCAGAATGCAACCATTCTGTAGGTTCGTCTGCGTCCGCGGATTTTAAGATGTTTGATGGGATGGCACACGGCGAGGTACCTCTCAAAGGACAGCATGGTAACCAGTGCAATGGAGGCAAAGTAGCCAGTGTTTACGATAGTGTAAAAAGTGTAGCACTGGGCAGAATTCACAAAAGGAAAATGGTTTGCTACCGGGGAAACAGCGTAACGCCATAATGTGACTGCAGACGCCAAACTCACATAGAGAAGATCAGTAAGTGCCAAGTGGGCCAGGTAATAGTTGGTGTCTGACCTCAGTGTACGAACACGGAACATAACAAAGAGAAAAGTCAAATTAGTGATCATGCTCAGACACCAAATGATCGGTATAAGAATTGCTGTGAGGAAAGAGTCTGTGGGAGTGTAGATCCAGTCAAGAACTTGCTCCTGACTAACATTAACGGTGGTTAGTTCACTGCATTCTCCCGATGTCAGTCCAGATCCCATGATGGGTCAGTTTTCGGTGAAGTGATTTCCTCGACAGCCCAGCGAATGTTTAAAATGACTATATGTAGATCTAAGTGAAGTTCGTTGCGTCAGGTGTTGCGACTTTGTGCGTCA